CATAAATATATATTTAATTATATGTAAATTTATATTAATTTTATAGCAATGATATGAGTTTAATTGGATAATGTTCATCATATATTATAAAATATAATATATAACGGGTATTATTATTAAAGTTTTATATCACAATAATAAAACAATGACTTTATTTTTATACTATATATGAAATAGTTATTTTAGTATTATAATACATGACTGCAGTTTTTTTGTAAATAAATAAATATAAAAAACGATACAAAATCTAAATATGTTTTTTAATAATATGATATTAAATAATTTTTCATATATTTATAAATAAGTACAATATATAAAAAATATTGCATAAGCATTTAAAAAAAATTACTATCTATTGGCAAAACATGGATTTTAAATTTAAATATTTATATATAATTTATAATAACATAGATTTATATCGGTTCATATATATTTAAGTTTTATTTATGAAATCAAATTATATAATACTAATAATAGCAATATAGTGTATAATAATAAATGTTATTGTTATAAATAAACAATGAATAAATAAAATGTAATATCAAATCATGTGTAAAGATATCTATCAAACACTAAGAACTTGAAGTTTTTGTTATTTAAAAATAATAATTTTTTCCAAAATCTAAAAATCTAATATTTTTTAATACAAAAGCTATTTTTTGACTCAAAAAAACATTTGATATGTTTAGGGATTTAGTTAAACGCTTGAATGACTAACAAAATCAATGCACTTTACTTTCATTTAATAGGAACCCTATTTAAGTAATAGATTTAAATCAAATTTATTTTACATTTATCAGTCATTATTGGATTTATATCTTATTTGTTTATATCATATAAACTATTTGAAGATTAAGAGTGCCATTATTATTATGAGATATATATTTATATGTACGCTATTATTCATAATATCGGTATATTTAATGTCAAATGTGATATGTTTTGGAGATGAACGCTATGTTATCGCCGATTTGGACGACTCTGGTCACGAACTTCACGGCTCGGAGACTAAAAAACATTTGTGGAAAAAGAAATATTTGATGGCAACACCCATCATAACGGCTCCCTATCCTTCCTATCCATACCCACCTATAGGCGCCGGTTCACTACTTAAAAAAGTCATATTGAATGGTCTTTCGGGATACGTTCCCACTGTAATCGGAAACTTTGGTGGAGGGTATGTGTGACTGATATTAAATATACATTTAATTAAAAAAATTACCCTCTAGTCTAATCTAGTCTAGACTAAATGGTAATTTTCTAATTCAGTGTATATTAATATCTTTATTTATTTATTAATTTTTTATTTTTATTAATTTGTTGTTATTTTTGTTTCGGATTTATTAATAGTTTATTGCCATTTAGTCTACAGCTAGCTATCGGCTAACGGTTGAATTAACTGTGTTTTTAGTTTCATTTAAAAACAGGTATTTTCTAAAATATATAAAAATAAAATGTGATAAAAACAAAAATATAATAATTTTACAATTATAAATGTATTTAAAATACATTGTTAGCTATTCATTAACCGCCTAATAGTTGTTAAAATTTAAATTTAAAATACTCAAATTGAAACATTAATCAATTTCATATAAATAAATAAACTTTTTATATTAATGTAATTTTAAATTATTGTTTAATTATTTTTAAAAAACTGAATTTAWTAAAAAAAATTATTTTAAAGGTGTAAACATGTTTACAGTTTATAATTAAACTGTAAATTTTTCTAAATGTAATTAAAATACACTTTAAAAATATATAACTATTCATCAAAATGTATTTCTATTGATAATACAGTATAGTGTAGTGTTTGTTTTAAAATGCCATTTATATAAACTAGACTAACCCTTCAACAACAAAATAAATGCTAAACATATAATTAAATTCATCAATTGTTTTGTGTACCAAAACAAACAAACAAACAAAAATCAAAATTCATTTAATGAGTTGAAAGTTTCATTAAAACGATAGGTTGTCTACGGGTTTAGGTGTTAGACTCGACCCATATATATGTGCCAAATGTGATGCAAAAACCATAGAAATGCAATGAAAAAGACAACTCTAATAATAAAATTCAATTTGTTTGCAATTTTCCGATCAATATATTTGAAACAAATAAAATTTACGGCACGTGTAGCCAATTTGCACAGACAGACAAGTTTTAATTTCAAACTTCAAATTTAATTAAACCAACTAAAAGGTAAACATAGAATAAAGTAATTATTTGATTTAATTAAACTAAAAAAAAAAAATCTAATCAAATAAAATACACATTAATAAAATTCACTTAAAATACTTAATTATTTTTAATTATAAGTTAAAATTTCTATTTGAATGAAAACAGCATTTTGAGTATCGAAAACAGTATGACTGACCAAATCATAGGTTGGAAAGGAGGTTAACAATAAAAATTATGACAATTTAATTAATAACAAACAAATTTTAAATGATAAACAATAATGATTTTAAAAATTTATTTATTATGATATTGCTTTTTATCTTTATATTATTGTCCGACTASTATGAAATCAATATTATTAAGTTAATAAAATAAAATAGTAGTGATMTTAACACCAAATTTATATCTAATAATGTTTTTTAAATTCTAAATTTAATACACTATTTATTTTATAATTTAACATTTCTATAGCTATAATAGTTTATTGAATGAATGCTATATTAAAATTTGATTACTATGTTAATTATTATATTATTTGTAAAAACATTGAACTGTTTAATAATTTAATAATATTAGTTTTATTAGTTTAATAATTAAATAACTTTTGTAAACGTAATGTAATTTACATTAAAAATTAATATTATCAAAAGGTTAGAACTTTAATGATTTCAAATATATATAACTTATTTWTAACTTATACATTAAAGATTGATATCTCTAAAATTCATTGGATTTCAGTCTTAAATTAAATTAAACTAAATTATCACATTTTTAAAATCATTGATTACTAAATTTGTTAGTTTATTCAACAAAAATCACTAATAGATTTAATCCTTATATATTAAATATACTTTATATATAAAGTTGATTATCAACTAATTAAATGTATAATAATTTAAGATAAGTTTGATAAAAACAAATTATTAAGTACTGACATCTAAACAGTCATAATTCAAATCATATTTTTTTATTTTAAAGTATTTTAAAGTTTTATAAATATTAATTGATAATTTGTAAATTTGAAATAATCAAAATAGTGAGTTCATTGGGTAATAAAACATTATTGTTAAATACACTCAACAACAGTATAGCGGTGTCGGTATACAGTAGATGACATCCATTAGAAATTATTATATAACTAGCATTTAGTATACTATGGTTAGTACGCTATGGACGCGACGTCGACTTATCGCTAAAGATACCGGTGTTTTGTTTTTCAGAGATAGAATAGGTCCGGGAATTGTACCGGCATTTGAAAGGACAAACACATCAAACACTGGATATTTTTTTAATTACTATTGCATAACAATTATAAAAGTTTCATTTTTAAATCAACATAAATACTTATAAATACAAAACCATTGACACTTGACACTAACATAATTCACATGATATTTATATATCGTATATACTGTACTAAATAGTAGTATAAATGTCATCAATACTTACCTTACGATACATGAAATCACAATAAATTTACATAATTTAGTCATTAAATAAAGTACTAGAGTTTTCATGTGATTAGAGAAAATCTGTTTGACATAAATGACATTAATTTAATAAATGTATTTAGAAATCATGTTATGAATTAAAATATAACCACAATATTGTTAAATACATTTATAATTTGAATCTAAATTTAATATACAATACAATCGCATCATATAAATGACAGTTTAAATCAGTTTCTATAATGAATTTTCAGTTATTGTAAAATGCAATTTATGATAATGTCAAACAAAAATATAATAAAACTTGTCAATTATGCGTATAATAATTTTATTTTAAAAATTCATTTATTTTGACATGATATTTTGTTTATAATTTACTAATACATTATAACATTGTTATAAGGTATTTAACAATTAATTAAAAAATAATCATCAATTATATATAAAGCTAAAAAATAAAAATAACATTTAAAATTAATTGTAAAATATATAATAATATTCAATTAAAAATATCATTGATTATCAATCAATAATCACTAAAAAATACTGATTTATTTCATGTGTTTTTCAATTATTATATAAATTAGACAAATGCTATCCAAATATTTTGATAGTAATAAATGTAAAAATATCAAAATATCAGATACATTATCCAAATCAGTTACGGTATCAATTGATTCACTTAAATAGGCATTTGAAATAACTATTAAAAAAAATAATATTAATTAATAAGCTAAAACTTCATATATTATTGTAATACTACTAATTAACTAATAAAATATAAACTTATTTCTCTTAATATAAAAAATTAATTAATCTAATGCTAATTAATGTATTTCAATGATTCATTATTGAAAAAAAATTTACTATCATAAACAAAATTCACTAATTTCAATAATAACATCAAAAACACTAAATGACAATTAATTAATTAACTAAATTAAACAAAATTATTTTAATGCCTAAACAATGTAATGATTAATTTTATAACTGACAACATAAAAGTTCAATAAAATTAAAATAAAAAAACTTTAAAAATATATTTAAATTGTTATAAATAATATCATATGAATGTTATAAAATCATACGAAAGTAAAGAATATGAAAATAATTTTTAAATCAAATAAACCATTAGATCGKGAAAACATCGAAAAATAAACTAAATATCAATATTAAGGTATCTATAAAAAAAACAATAATATGAGCATATTTTTAAATATTATTTTAGTTAGTATTTATATTAGTAGTACTAAAAAATCGTTGAATTGTTTCACATAAAATAATGATAAAACTGAGATTCACTAATATTTTTTTGATGAATTGACATTAAAAGAACATTCACATCAATAATGAGAATAATTAGATTACCGTAGATTTTGCCATTTTTTATCTCTTATTTGTAATCTCTTAAATTAAATCATAATAATAGAAATAATACTAAAAATGTGATGATTATTACGATAAAAATTATTTGACTAAAAATTATGTCGAAATTCTTGTTAGGAATGATTGTAAGTGTCGATCGACTAAAATCTTGTTATATTAATATCTGAAATAAAATAATAACACCAAAAAAATTGTTAGACATATACAGTATAATTATAATCAATAAATATTGTACTGCATATATAATATGTATATATTGACTAAAGTAAAGTATATTATTATATATACAGTACAGTACAACACAAGTTATCCTAAATCTCATATAAAATCATATGTTTATATAGTGTAGGCAACGGTGAAAAAATAGGATCAAATATTTGTAGAGTAATGCAATTTTTTTAACGATAACTAAAATATATTTAAAAGCGATATTATACTAATAAAAAATATGTATTATTGAAAAATATGGAACAGTTAGAGAGTTGCTTATTTTATTTGCAAATATAGCTAGTTCAGTTTTGTAACCATTAATGACAAATAACACAAATTCACTTAAATATATATATATATATATATATATATATATATATCTAAAAATAGTGATAGAATATTGTTTATGTATTTATGTAGAAAAAAAAGATTATTCAAGTGTATGATTATATCAAGTTTATTCAAAAAGTTTGTTTTTATAAAAAAATGCAAATGCTTTTTATCAATTTTGTTATTTTTAGACTATTGTAAACATTAAACAAAAAATACTTCACACTTAATTTTAAATGAAATATTGTTAAATAAATATTGATATTAAATTTTGTATTATTATTATTATAAATAAAATATTTTCATTGCACTCTAATTCGCGCCACAATTTTTTTTATTGCCAAAACCATATAATCAATATATATATATATATATGAAGTATATATGAGATTTATTGTTGTCATAATTAAATAAGATTTTTAAAATTATGTGATATGTTATTAAATGTTATTATTAACAAACCTATAGTATTGAGGCTTAAAGGGACCCGTCTTTTGTAAGCCCATATACTTTGCCTGTTCATCGGTCAGTTCGGTCAGATGGGCGTCAAATGTAGGCAAATGAAGGCTCGCCACGTATTCATCTGTGGATTATCCGATAAATAAATTTTAATCCCATATATTGTAATTATTATTTTAAAAAAACTAGTCATCTAATTCATACCCATTTTCTTCGGTAAGAGATATACATCTGATTTATATCTGCCTACCGGTGCGTTGTAAAGCTCTATGAGTGCCAACGCTTGAGTAGTAGTAGTGATTGAGACAACAAACGATGGAATACTGGAACAGCTGAGGTTTACAAGACGTCCCTATTTTGTTAGCCGAAAAAAAATAATATAAAATTATATTAACGGAAATTTTAAAAAATATATTTAATCGTAAAAAATACACAATTTTTTTAAATACTTCAGCTAATAATGTTATACGTTTGCCGTCTGGCCATACAATTTGGTCAACTTGTGACCTAACCTTTTCCCACGTCAAGTCAGGTGTTCGCAAACTTTGCTGTTTTGGTTTAAAAATAAAAGATAAAAAAAATCTAATTACTATTTTTTTAATGCTGTTTAATAATTCAATGACAAAAAAATCATTGCAAGAAAATAGATTAAAAAAAGATAATAATATGTAACAAATTATTTATGAATGAAATGATATCTCATAGAAACAACTATAATAGTAATCATCTATTTTATAGATATATTATATTATAATAGCCGACACTCACGACATCGATCTCAGTGTTGGAGTGACCCATATTGCAGAGGATTGTACCGCTTTTCATACGATCCATATGCTCGCGAGTGATCACATCTTTATTACCGGTGGCACTGATTACCAGATCTACTTGACGTATAACATCATTGATTGTCACCACTTTGAAGCCATCCATACTATCGATGTCATCAAAAACAAAACAAAAAAGTATTGATTAAAATTGTATTTCATTAAACAAATATCAAATACCAATAAATAGAGAGACACTAAATGCTTACCAACACTGAAGGGCACAAATCGGATCGATTTCTGTTACGTAGACAATAGCTCCGACACCCTTAAGGGCAGCACAACATCCTTTGCCAACCTCTCCATAGCCACAAATCAGCACTTGTTTTCCACCGAGCATTACATCTGTAGTTCGCTTAAGACTATATTAAAGACACAAAAAATAAAACTAATTAAAAATTATATTAAAAATTCAATTAAAAACAAGYTTTATATGACTAACGCATCGACGATTGTCTCACGAGGACAGTAGAGATTATCAAATTTAGTTTTGGTAACCGAATCATTTACATTCATAGCGGGCACCGTTAGCTTTCCGTTTTTAGACAACTGGTAGAGTCGATGAACGCCGGTCACACTTTCCTCAACGATACCCTTTATTAGATTAGATGCGGCCGGATATCGCTTAAGTAGCAAATGGGTGGCATCTCCGCCGTCGTCTAAAATCTTTTTCAAATTGTAGACAACATATTAATTAGTAAATTATGAAACAAATTATAAGATCAAAGACAAACCATGTTTGGTTGCCAGGACTCGCTGCTAACGCATTGGTCAATACACCACCAAAAGTCCTGTTCCGACTCACCCTTCCAGGCAAATACCGGAAGGCCTATAGTATTTGGAAACAATAAAAAAGTAATTAAATTTTTATTTCCCGTAAAAAACTAAATTTTTAATGGAAATTACTAAAAAATTCTGGAAAGTTATATATATATATATATATATATATCTACACTTTTTCTCTTTCTTGTAAATAGTTTTTTTCTAATAAAGTAATTTTCAAACTAAATTGATTGATTTAAACCGCTGGAAGCATTCACTTAATTAAATAGGATTATGTTTAATTATATCACAAATACTGTTATATACTGTTAGTTTTTATATCAGATAAGTGTATAGAAAGTATTAACCGATAACAATACTATACATCTGTAATACTAGAAATAGGTCACACAAAACATAGGGCTATGTGTGAGTGAGTTAGAGAGAGAGAGAGAGAGAGAGASAGAGAGAGAGAGAACTTGGGTTTAAGTGTTTTAGCACACAAACTATTTATTGATTGATACTATTCCTGGCTTTTATATATACTGTATATAAAATTAGATAATTTCTTCAAAAAGATAGTCATCTCTATCGCCCTTAAAGTCTTACTGATAAAAATATATTGCATAATAAAAATATAATAATAGAGTTTTAATAGCTATAAAATATCTGTAATATAAACTTTATAATACTATTTTTCAAACTTTATACATAATTAATATATATATGAAACAAAATACAGTATTATTACTATTAAGCTTTATATACATAATAATTTGGTTAATGTATTCAAAATATTAACTATTTTTTCATACCATTTTCAGCGAGAGCTGCGGCCACTGTATTCTATAAATCAATAAAAATAGTTTAATAAAATTAATAAAATTTCATTTTTAATTAAAATACAACTTATAGTAATAAATAGTTGTATCTAATGTTATATTAAATTAAATGATTTATTTTTGTGTAAAAATATTTATTTTTGTAGGGTATTTATTGTATAATATATCTATTAGATTAGTATTACCGGTACATTGCCTGAGAAAATGCTATAAACATTTATAACAAAAATTTATATTAAAATTAATAATTATATCATAAATGGCTATATTATTAGTTTGATATTTGCTCTAATTTAATGCAATTATATTTACAGTATTATTTATATATACGGAATGTACTGTAATATATAAGTATCATATAATCATTTAATATATCTATTGAAAACAACTCCTAACATAATGTTGAGTGAGTGAATAAATCGTATAACAATTCACAAAAATATGTGATATTATAAATTTCATGTGATTTCCGAATTTAATAATAAAATATTAAATGAAAATATTTTCAAAAAATTTAATAACAGCAAAGATAACTAAACTAAATGTCTCCTAAATGTCGAGATCTCTCTAATGTTAACGATTTTCGGGACATAAGTAAAATTGTATGGGTTTTTCATAGTCAAGAAAATCAATAATCTTTTCATTTGTCAAAAATGCCTTTTCTTTTCGTTCATTCCCTTACTATCGTTGCCGTCACTCTTGTATTGATTATCTTTGTGTGTATTTGTTATGTATGTGTGTGTGACTGACTAAACTTAAAAGTCCGTTACATTATATAATAGGAAAATATATCTAAAAATTCATAAGCCTTAAAACACAAAAAACACATCAAACATCAACCATTATTATTATTATTATTAGTTATGAGAGACCCTCATATGTATATACTAGAGCTCATACATACCTGAGTGGAATATATATTACAGGCTGACCAGCGAACAGTAGCTCCTAATGTGGTCAGAGTTTCAATGAGAACCTTAAAATAAAAATTGTATGTATTGTAGATAAAAATATTGTATAAAATGTAAATTTCTATATATAAAAAACAAATTAAATTATCTAAAAATAATGAAACATTTTAAAATGTCATTCAGCATACAAAAGCAATTTAATAATATTGTGCTAAAATCTAGAAAATAGAGAGATGCATAATCTTAGGGGTTTAATATTTAAAATGTGTAAATTAAATTTTCAATATAATAAAAATAGGCATTTATATACTCATCATATATATATATATATATATATATATATATATATATACAGTTTATATTAGTTATATGAAAATATAAAAACATTGTAACAAAAAATGCTTTTAGTAGATGTTATTTTTTTATTGAAATTCTTGTATTTTATATTATTGCAAATAAAGTGTATATGAATTCTCGTATGAATCAAAAATCCATTATCAGAAATGAAATGTTTTCTTATAATACAAAAAAATGATGTCATTTATACTATCGAAATGATTATACCAACAAAGATATTCATAATCTAACTATAAATTAGATAATCATTGAATAAAAAAAATTCAATTATTTTTATTGAATATACGCACATATAATGAAAGTATTTTAAAAGATTAAAAGCAGCTTTTAGTACAATTTATGTAAAGCCTCCTATAATACTACTAAAAATATTTTAAAATATCAATATAATATTTTTACTTTTGGCTCTTATTGTTATTATTATTAAAATATTATTTCAATTGTGTTTATTTTGTTTACTATTGTATAAATATTACTGTTCATCAAAATATGTTAATAATGAATATACTGTAATATGAGATACAATGCCCTAATCCTAGGGATTGGCACAAACATTACAAAGAGTTTAACTGTTAAGAGAAGTTAAATGTTTTCATTATATTTCATTAAAATAATAGTATTAATAGTTATAATAATGAAAATAAATTTAATATAATACAAAAACGTGACATAACTACAGCATAACAACAACTAATTTAAAGTAAATTTAATATATGTGTATACATACGGCTGATTGAGCGTTGATATGAGTACAGCCTATTATTTTGGCACCTTTTAGTGGTTTGTCATCAGTTGCACGACTACGGAGAGCCATGAGTCCTGACATTTCTGTTTTAATTAAAGAAAAAATGTCATCAAAAAAATTACATACACATCACACTAACAAAATTATTAATGTATTTAATTCACTGACTATCTATTAATTGACAACAAAAATGACAATCAAACTAATGATATGAATTACAATATATTTTTCACTATCGATACCAACCTTTCTCTGCGACCTCAATCTCTCGTCTTCCGAAGGATGACTGACTAATATTTTTGACGCAAAAATCTGTGAACCCCTTAGAGGACTGTTGTTTCTTTTCCCGGGGCGACACTCCCGCGTCGTTTTCATCGTCGGACGACGACTCGGTGTACGACGATGTGGACGACTGCGAGGTCGACGAATTGCGTCGGGAGCGCACCGATGCCTGCAATCGCTCGGAGAATCGGCCAATCGGTAGACTCATTCGGCGCTTCTGGCGGTCCTTAAAACCGGCGAATTGTAGCACTGATTCGCGCACCTGAGGACCCAATTGTGGCGGCAATAAGTGATTTAATAGTGGAATTTGCATCGATAGGAAACTCATATTAGTTGCAGTTTTTTTATTTGTTAAATAGCACTTAATTTAAATCTTAAAGTTTAAGTAATAATAATAATAATAATAATAGTAAGAATAGTAGTAATGTATTGTCTATTTGTAATTTCACAATAATTTGCATAACATATTATTCAAATGCATTCAATAAATTTTATAACAATGAAAAACGACTATTAATATTCAAATGATAGCCTGTGGTATAATAAATATAATACATATAAAAGAGAAGTATTTATGAGTATTCATTAATAGTATCGATAAATTATCACAAAATACAAACTATTAGCAAACATAATAAGGATAGTTAATAAAAAAGGCTTAATAAATGTTGTCTAATATATTTAAACTCTAATTAAAAAAATAAAATTTTCAACAAACAATACTAATAATTAAATTTCATTAAGTGTTTCGCTGTAATAGACAAACACAATCAGACTAACGAAACGCAAATATCATCTAATAGTCTAAAAATACGATGACATTCAATGAATATAATTTAATGGACTATTTTATATGTTATATTACAAAATACAGATAAACAAATAACCAAACGGTAACACCAAAAACTAATAGTATTGAAGATTAAAGTCATTTATCAATAGTTACATTAGCGATGGTAATGATAAAAAATGACACAAACAGTACTCATAAACTATATATAAAAACAATTTTATGTAAAATATATTTTATTATATATATTGTAACAATAGTTAGATGTTTAATAATAAAAAACCCCAAATAGTAAAATAATAATATAAGTATAATAGTAATAGTATTATATAATAAATATACAAAATTATTTGGTAAATCCYTTTCCTAGTATAGTCATTGTCAGCAAAAATCAAGTTTATAAGCCATTGTTTTGTGTGTGTATGTGTTTGCAATATAATCTCAATATATAATATCTCAAGTGAATTACATAATAAACATCACTAGTATTAAATAAAATCCTTAAGCCTAATATTAGTTCAACAATTTTTTTGGTCAAAAAAAACTTTTGTTAAGTTTGTTTGTTATAATATTAAATTTAAAAGTCAACTAAAAAACATAATCCTTCAATACCGACAATACTGGTGACTCAAGTTATTAAAATAATAATAAATAAAAATAAATATATATATAATTTTAGATGAAAAACAACGAAAAATTGTAATTTTCATACTGTTTCATAATCACTATATATTTTTGCTATAAATATATATATGATATATAAGTATAGAAATATTTGTCGTGCTTTTAATAAATATATCCTCATTCATAACGACAACTTATTTTATTATTATGTATAACATGTACTCTCCCTCTCTCTCTCTAAATGAATAAACATATGATAAAACTAATAATACATTAAAAATAGCATTAGATCTAACAAATATTTACACTAATATTCAACTACTGTATTGTAATATATTTTTGTCATTAAATAAATTATTTAATACTATTTATACGCCAATATAACAATAAATGCCGCATAATGTAAATCAATGCATCAATTATTTATTTATTTATTATCTCTTTCTATATATATATTTTTGACATATTATTAAAATATTTATAATAGACAAAAGTAATTTTTAACAATCGTTACAACATTAAACAATTATTTATTTTAGTTATTTTTATGTGTATTAGAAATTTTTCATTATATCAAAAATCAAACACAATTTAACGATAAAATGCATAAATCATTACAAAACTGGATATTTGAGTAAAACATTTATTTTATTTTTGTTTATTTTAAATGTCACAATAATTATTCATTGGTTTAATTAGAAAATTTATTAATGGAGTGGAAGCGATAACTTACATAAATTAATATATAAATTACTATTATATTTTATTTTAATTTCTAATAAATATATATATATTTAATTTTCAAACAAATTATTTACTCATAACACACGCACACAAATAAAATAAAACCAAAATATTAAAATAAATTATAATTGTTTCGCTCTATATGTCAATACAGTATAACTATTGATAACATAAACATTTAAATATAATAAATAATTAATTTATGCAAAATAAATGACATTCAAATGGTTTGCAATTATGAAGTTGTTTTCAACTTTAAGGTTTCAGTTAATTAATAAATTACTTTCAGAAAAATTACTAATTATATATTTGCTCTTAAAAACCATTTATTAATTAAAAATAAATATTAGCATATAATCTAATTTAAATAAATAAATGTCATTAATAATAATATTTCAAATTTTATTATATTTAATAATATAGTACTAATAATATAATTCTACTAGTTAAAAAAATATACAAGCTAGACAATTTTCATTTTAAATAATTTACCTGGAAACCCATCTGTAAATTAGCATGGTGATTATTTTTATCTTCCATCATTATTATAATAATAAATTTAGTTTATAAAACAATAACGACAAAAACACATACAAATGTTATTTTTCTTTAACAGAATATATATATAATAATAATAATAATAATAGAAACAGAAGTATTGATAAAATTCAATTATTATTATTTTTTTTTGTTATATATAAAGTAATTATTAAATTATATTTTTTCCAACTTATTATTATATATCATTCAACCATTCAATTCAATATTTATACGATAATACTAATAATATTATTAACAGACATACAGTGTGTTTCATATATGTTTGATGTGGATATGTCAGAGAGTAAGAGTGTGTGTATGTGTTATAAGTTGTATAATATTTTTATATTTATATTTAAAAAAATGTGTGCAAAAGCATCAAATCATTAACAGTATTGGTTGAGCAGTAAGAGAGTAATTATATATATATATACTGTATATAACTTATATATATATATACTGTATATAACTTATATATATATTTATATATAGAGAGCAAGTTATATAATAAAAAGGGAAAAAATAAATATTTTTTATTAACACAAAATATTTATGCAATTATTATTATAGACATTAATAAATACATATATTTAATAAAAAACAGCACAAAAACAGAGTTAAAGACACAAATACAATAAATTGGGAATAAAATTGATTTATTTTAGAAAAAATTCATAGAATTATATATATATTATATATATATAGTGTAGAGTAGTAGACAATAGACAAACACATATCATAAACAATATTAATATATTTTTTAATACATATATATATATTACGGACACAAAACTATTAGATACAAAAAAAGTGTTGTAAAAGATTGTATTATATGTTTGTTAGACAGATATATAGAGAGTCGGGAAGAGCTTTAAATAAGAGCACATCATATCCTAAATGGCATACCTTTATAACCATATAATACAGTTATATATGACTGGCGCCACCGTCACCAACACATGCCATGACCGTCAACGAGATGTATAGCAGCATATCATACATATCTATTCAATATAGATATACACTAAASAAAACTACTGGTGCTATAGTTTAACAAAAACACTGTAGTATTCAATGTATTTAAAATAGTGGGCCAAACACTGATATATATGCCACACAAACAAACACACACACAGATAGAYAAACCGGGTAATAGATATGACACTTCCCTATTGATTATATATATATGCAATTGAGGTATAATTGATGGCAAACAATATATAATAACTGCACAATTGATGACTAATTTAATAGATATTTATTAATAATCACCGAAAACCACACACAAAACACTGTATACACTATAACATAGATTTATTAAAGCAAATCAATACTGTTATAAATGTATACAAACATGTGTTTAAACATTGTTTGTTACGCAGCCATAGCACTAATAGAGATGCACACAAATGTTSATCAATACATTTAYAATACATKTATACAATAACTTRSAATTTTGTGTATATTAATAGACAATTTTTTTTAATAATACGATACAATATGATATCGTATTACATTTGGGGGTATAGTAATAATTTATATGTAATCGACACAAAATTATATATATATATGACAGGGAAAACATTATTTAGTAAAATGTAACCATTTATATGAGTTGGACTTAAATTTTAATAATATTATTCAATATACTGTAGTAATASAGAACATAATTTATAGTTAAATAATTTTAGTAATACTATTAATATTAAATGTGTGTATAGAAGACATTAATTATATTTATAAATAATTTCTAAAACATTGTATCCGTATTTTAAAAGATACTATTTTTTTAGTCTATAATAATATAAAAATCTAAAAATATATTTATTTATTTTTAAAAAATATCTTCTGCAATATTGTTTGTACACTTGTATCATAGCAACGAATTAGTAAAAATACAATTTTAGTCCATTTCTTATTGTTGTTTGATCAGCTTATAGTCATATAGTACGCCAATTATATACAATATTAATAGTATTGTCATATTCAGCAATTATGTGGTGAATATTCCCAATTATTGTAGAATATATTCTAAATTCTATGACATATACTGACCTATAGGTCATCAATTTTATTAATTATTTTAACATTTATTAACTATGAAATTCTAATATTTATTAATAATAATAGTAATACATTGTTAAAAATATAATATTTATTATAATGTACCAACACACAAAAAAACTATAAAATTACTAAAGTTATAATAAATATTTCAATATATTTAATATGTCCATGGTGAAATTTTGTTATGACTCTGCAATTGCATAGTTAGTCAAACTAACAGTGACTGCAATGTAAACAATTAATTGGACGAAATGTGTGACAATTAAGACAATGGGTTCGGGTCTCCAGTCTATAAATATATAAAATTTTGTATAAATTATTTATCACTAGATATAATGATTTATGCAATCAATTTATAATTGTATTTATAATAAATTTCGTACTGATTTCCCTAAAAGGAAATGTTACGATCAAATATCGGGTCAACAAAATCATATCAATTGTGGTCATAGCTGTGCTTAAAATGAGACAACTCATGAAACGACTACTTGAATGGCTTGAGTAAAGAAGACCTGCYGTCTGTTTGAGATAAAGTATTGTAAAGAGACTGTAGAGGAATAGCCACCAATAGGAAGACCTATCCATCGATATGCTGTTCAGTGATACAAAGGCTGATCTGATGGCCAAACCTAACAATATGAGTATTGTGACAAATAGTATGCATATTGTGAAGCATATAACCCTTGAACTGCCAACAGATAAATTTAACTTTGTTTCTGTAACGGGAATGTCATCATTGATATCGTTAAGCGTCTCTATTTTCAGGTGCTTTGCCCCGACCTTATCAACACTAACAGACAAACCACTCATTTTTTTTATGACAATTTGATATATCTTATCAATTAATTAAAATTAAAGTGACAAATAAGCACAAAAAAGTGACAGCTTATGTAAGTAACAACAAGTTTGATGTGTATTTAATGATATATTAAAACGATAATACAATACAAACAATTGATTGTGACTACCAATTATCACATCATTATTAATATAGTTATTTGTTTTWAAAAAATATAAAAGCACGCGATTTTCAATATCAATGCCATATATTTTGGTGATTAAATTTTTTAATGATTTAATGTTATGTAAAAATTTATAAATCTGTTTTATTTCAATTATTTTTCAAAAAATTATTTAATTTATGATAAAAAATATATTAATGGTTAATATTTTTTTTAAAATATATAATATTTTYATATATATACAAAATAAAAATAAAATGAATACTTGTGCAATATAAAGTTTCTAAAAAAAATAATAAAAATAATAATTAATTTAATAATATAATTATAAATTATTTAATTGATTTCTATTAATATCTAAATTTGGTTTTTTCCTTAAAATCAAGTCCAATGAATTGTAAATGAGATATAAAATAGTAATATAAGACAATACACTAATTGCAATACAAGCGGCACTAAAATAGACTAAAACTATTGGTTCGTCCTGAATGTACGGCCCGAGTAGTAGTGGCGATGTGGCCGACAATATGCCGACGGCAAATATCAATATTGAACTGATTCGCTCAGTTATCACTATATACTGATCCATAAACGAGTACATTAGTGCCCACATCGCCGACAATCCAAAACCTGTGTTTTGTTTAAAAAAATATACAAAAAAAACAGTTATTATATCAATTTAAAAATCTTAATAAAGTTTTTTTTAAAAAATAATTATTATTACCGATTAAAATATTGCCGACATATATGGCAATCAACGAGTTTTGTGCGAATAATAATACGATTAATGCTATTAATATTGATATGTAGTGATAGGTGAGCATCGTTTCGGGTTTCAATTTGATAGCCATGAATATTGAGAGAAAGCGTCCTAATGTAAAACATGTGGCCATCATTGATAAGATAAAGGCTGCTTTTGGGGCACATAAATGCAATGGTATGTATTGATTATATGTTGGACTAAATTGAAAGAAACAGTTCTCGATGACTGTGAATGAGGCAAAACACAGAGCACTCAATGCGATAATCCTTTTCAATGGCGAGTTTGATGAGTCTATCTTAATACGGGTATCTTTGGTCTCATTCACATTAATTTGACACTCACTGCCTTCACTGTACTCATCAGGCTTCTCATATTTTTTAATCAGATACATGATTAGCATTAATATAGCGCCCAGCAATTGTATACTGCCTATGATAGCAAACGGTATGTCCAATGATGATGACCTGTCGATAGTCTCGATTTTGGTGTCGTCGTCATCGCTATTGACATCGCCAATAATGAATGGTTTGTCGATGAGTGGCCCGACAACACTGCCGATGCCAAATGCAAACAATGCCAATTGCAACAGCGGACCGCTACGGTCTTTCCACATTTCGATGACCCATACGTTGAACGTRCTGTCCCACGAACCGCCACCGAGACCGATGATAAACCCGCACACAAACAGCACGTAGAGGGAGGCGCGCGGTATGAATATCAATGCTATGCCCATTGCTGTTAGCAATACGATTATCCTAAGTTGTCGATTAATTTGCTTGACTGATCCAACTTTAAAATTATAAAGATTTTATTAATAATTTTTGTTTTTAATAATTTAAAAAATCAATCAAATAAGTGAAAAATTCAACAATGAGAAGGAATAGCATAATTTTTTTTTTTGAAAAAATAATACTTACAAAGACTGCCAATGATATAACCGACTGAATTGATTGAATTATAAAGAAAGACAATCTGCATGTCCTTCTGTTTAAAGATATTTTTGAGGTCCACAAGACACGGACCAACTGACGTACAGGTGATGCCAAATGCAAATTGTATGTAACACATGATTATTGTATACATTATTTTATCCCAATTTTGTTTTAGCTTTTTTGCAGGTATCAGGTCATCACTTAATTTGCTAATATTTTTCATTATTATTATTTATAATTTAAACAAAAAAAATATATATATTAAACTCAACTTTTAAAAATTATTTAAAAAAATAAATTTTTCCATAAATGTTTACATCACTCATTTCAAATCCAAATCATTTACTTATTAAAAAAAATTTATAAAAATTTAATAAAATGATAAACTTGTTAAGTGTCAATGTAATTGTAACAAAATTTTTGTAAACTTTATAAAAATGATGGCTTATGCATAATAATTTACAATAATAACTATATATTAATCATCTATAAGTCTTATCTGATAACTTGTTATCATTAATTAGGCAGTGATTTATCAAATTAAAAATATATGAATGTTTTATATTATTAAAGTTATATTTTTTTAAATTATATAAAATTTTAACAGTGTATGAATTTAATTAAAACAATTAATACTAATATTAGATATTAAAAGTGATATCTTTATATATCTAGAAAAATATGTTGTACTTAATTGTTACCTTTTATTTTATTTTTAGCTAAATCAGTACTTTTATATGTGTTTATATTTTTTTGTATATCAATTATTTGCCAATCGATTGTTCTTAAGTGATAATATGATTGTTATAATAATAATAATAATAATTAATTTTACTGTATTTTCTAGGAAGTTTGCGATATAAATAAATAGTAATAATCTACAATTAAATTAAATATAAATATTAACTTACCGTAATTGTAATGAAAAATTATATCTTGTAATAATCATTATTGTTAATTTTTCTTTGTGTAATTTTGATATTGTTTTTTAGGTAATATAATACATAATATTTTAAATTAATTATAAAACTGATGTTGGAATAACAACTATTATATATATATTAAATAAATATCATAAATTTAATAACAACGTCAATTGACATTAAATGACATAAGATATTTACAGTATATATATATATACAGTAACTACCGGTGATAATTTGAAATTTCTAATCAATTTTTTTGAGAAGAAAATTTCTGGAAAGTTTACTAACTGATAAATTTCCATTGAATTTATTATTATAAGAATAATATACTTTATAACTTTACTATACTAAATTGTATACTATGTGTATACTAAAATATACTTTATAAGTTAATTGTATTTAAAATTTTATTTTTGTAAAATATTTATTTCAATTTAGTTTATAATATTAAATGAATATAATGATAAAAGATTGAATATGCAAAAGATTACTAAATATGTGAAAACAATGATTTTATAACTATTTGTTTTTGTTAGAAATTAATTTGGGATAACAAATGTAGAAAAATTAAAATTAATAGGTATATTATAAACAAACAAAAAAATATTAGAAACTTTCTAGAAATTTTATAAAAATTACCTCTTTTTCTTCATTTATATACAAAAAAATATTCAGAAAATATTAATAAAATAAAATAATATTATAAAGTATGATAATATCATAATTTATAATTAATATATATTTATTGCATGATTTTGAAACAAATTCTTTGTTAATCACTAATAACACATGTGTACATTAATTGATATTATTATTAATAATTATTAATAATAGTTTAACAGGTGCATTAACTATTACTATTTGATTTTTATTAATATTTATAATTTTATTACGGTGTATAGTAATTATATTTTTAATTATCAATTTTTTAAATGATAAGACATTGCAAATATTAATTTTAATCAAACAAAGTAATATGTAGATAATTTGTACGTAATTTTAAAAACTCATTAATAATTATTGAATAGAAGTAGAGTATAAACATGAATAAGATAACAATAATTTTTATATATTATTTTTGACTAAAACCAATGATAACATTGAATATAATAAAAATAACTAAACAATAAATGGCTAAAATGATATTCATATAGACTAAAGACAATGGTTGGGCTTCAATAAATTGTCCGCATATTACAGGAAATACAGCTGAGGTTAGACCAGCCATACAGGTGCACATACCTGTCGTCATATTGGTTAACGTAATGTGAGATTCAAAGAATGTATACGAAGAGGGATAGACTGTCGAGAAGCCGATTCCCAATAAAATGACTGCAATTATTAGCAATGTTTGAGACGTTTCATTGTTTTGATAGATAAATAGCGGAATATTAGCGATAACTGTAAAGACAAAGTTAACGTACAAATAGTTTTTGGTCCAAAATTTGATGGACACTATGAAATTGATGGCACGAAACACTGTAAAGCCAGCGATCAATAATGTAAATATGAGTGCACCCTCTTTGGCCGATATGTTTAAATGTGAATACTGTAGGAATGTAGGTATGAGCTGAAAATTGAGAAACTCTAGTCCAACATACGGTCCGATTAGAAATACAGCTAATATTTTATAGATTTTATCCCATTTGCTAACATTGTTAGTATTTGTACTACAATTTTGTTTTACGGGAGGTATATATCGACAATAGATATACAATATTAGTAGAAGTAATGACGAAATAAATAATAAAATACCGTTTATAATAAATGGTATAATTAGTTGAGAAGTTTTTGAATTTGTCTTAATTTGTTGCAAATTATTTATATCATTTATATCGTATATATTATCTAATAATGATATGTCGTTTGATTTTTTCTTTATATCAATATCTGCTAAAAATGGACTATCAATGAGTGGCGCCAAACATATTCCCAACGCAAAGAAAACCTGATATCCGGCCAAATAAAAACCCGATTYATCGCCCCATAACTCAATCAACCAAACTACCAGAGCCGTGTCTACACCTGTGTGTAAAAAATAATTGATTTACTATTTTTGAAAATAAATTTACCTCCAGCTCCAAATCCACAAATTGCTGACAGTGTGAACATTGAACCCAAATTAGGACAAACGGGTATTACTGTTATTGTAATTGCCATCATTATAAATATACATATTAATACAAGCTGTCGATTAATATAATTAAAAATGATACTATCTATTAAAAGATTAAAAGTTTTATTTATTAACCATAATTAGATTTATCTGTATATACATATAACTTGTGATTAATAAATTATTACAATTACTTACTAAATATAGCGCCAATTGTGTATCCGATATAAAAGCAAAAAAATATAAATGACATAACATTTGTTGTTGTATTCAATTTGATGGTCAGTTCGCTGAGTGCCGGACTTATTATGCTTATAATCAGACCCTTGAAAATCAATTTTTTTAAATAAATAAATTGTTAAATAAATAAGTATTTTATAAATATAAAAACTTACGTAAGAAAATGTAGCATAAAATAAAACGAGTGAATAAATAATTTTAGTTTTCTTTTTCATTAAACACTTGCCATTATTTATGTTATTATTATTGTTATTATCATTTAAATAAAAAATTTGTTTCATTTTAATAATTTATTTATAAATTTAATTTTTTAAAAATACTYTTCATATAATTTTTTTTATATAAAATTTAAAAACTAAATTAACAAATCATTGTATTAAACATATTCTATATTTATATAATAAAAAATATGATCTATTAGATTGTGGTCAAAATTAATCATCAAAAAACAAATTGTTTATATAAGCAAAAATCAATGTCAATAATGATATGACAATGATTTATAAGCACAGATTTCTACAATAGTTAGTGTATATTTGATTTTGAATTTTGATAATTTTAATTAATTATTAGTAAACACAAACAAATAAATAATGAAACAATATTTAATGTAAAACACTTATGTCAATATTTATTTTTACCTACTGTGCTATTTGTTACTAATTTGTTATTAAAATTAATTTAAAAAATAAAATTTAATTCAGATATTTTTTTATCAAAAGTTGAACATTTTAAATTTATTAATTTTAAATTAATTTTATAGAGTGATGAAATTATGCAAAAATCAATAATAATTTATTAACATCTGATTTTTTTTAAATAAAACAATTAATTGTTTTGTATTTTTCATTTAGATGTTAATTTATTAATATAAGAATTATATATTATATTAATTAATAGTAATAAATAACAATTATATGTATCTGTAAGTAGTAATAAAAATACTGTATAAGAAAATGAAACGCTATAACAAAAAATATAATTATAATATATTACATATACTGTATTTATATTAATAATTTATTAATATTATATTATTATAAAATAATAGGCAATGTTTTGATTAGTGACATAGAAAATTTAAATTTTATTAGTTTATTGTATAATAATGATAATAATAAAAACAATATAAACGTAAATATAGAATTGTTTTTTATTTTTATATAATATACAGCACTACAGTTACAGTGTTATAATTATTTATATACCTGTGTATCTTTAAGTTAAAAAAGTTTAAATTATTAATGTTTATTTAATAATAATGATATTAATAAAAACAATATATACGTAAAATATAAAATTGTTTTTTTATTTTTATATAATATCAAAAGTAAACTTATTTACAGATCAAAACTATGTTATAATACATTTAATACTTATTATATAGTTTATTAAAAATTTCAGACTATTATCTTTTAAATAAATAAATGTTTAAAAAAGTTTAATTAAATTATTAATGTTGCACTAAAAAGAGTTTAAAAAGTTTACTTAATAATACTATGTTTTAAACGTTCACTATTGAAATATATTTGTTCGCTCAGAAATAAATACGTTTACAATTGAAATATATTTGTTCAGAGTGAAATAAATATTTAGTTTTGAACTACATTGAAATTTAATAATCTTTTAATACCTCTTAAATATATTAAAAATACAATTATTATTATTTATTTGGAAAGAAAAAAGTGCATTATATCATAAATAATTGATTCAATGAACTTTACAATTATTAAATAATACATTATTTACATATAACTATTAGTTCAATAACATAGAATTAATTTATTTTGAACATATTATAAATATATTTTAGTATTTTATATTTAAGTGTTTTTTGCTGTCATTGTACTAATACTAATACTATTATAACTTTATAATTTAACAAAAATTATTTATCATAATATACAAAAACATCGAAAATAATAAAAATAATGA